GAGACACACCCCCTAAAAAAAAAAAAAAAAAAAAAAAAAAAAAGCTTCTGACTTAAAAAGAGTATTGTAGGGACACAAGGTGGTGTGGTGGTTGAGGTGCTGGACTCTCACATGGCTGACTGTGGTTCAAGTTCCAGATCTAGGGACCAGCAGATGGCATAATGGTTACACCCATGGTTTGAGTCCCAGATCTAGTGGACAAGAACTCATCCCAAGGGTGTGTGTGCATGCATGCCCAAAATCCTGAGAGGAGAACAGAGAAGGAGGGGTTGTGGCATGGCCATTCCCCATGAGGGGTGATTTCTTGCTTTCTGTCTCTGTTTCTCTGGCTAGTGTACGCATCCTATAACAAAAATCTCTCTTTAAAAAAAAAAGAAAAGAAAATTCCAGATCTGGTGGCTTGAAAATTATGTCAGGCATGTGTATGTGTGCGTGTGCCCAAAATCTCAAAAGGCAAATGGAGGAGAAAGGATTGCAGCATGACCATCCCCACTGGAGAATGTTGTCTCACTTTCCTCTGTCTCTCTCCAGTGAGTGCATGCACCCTATAGCAAAACCTAAAAGAAAAAAAGAAAAGAAAAGAGCATTCTAACCACATGGGGGTGCCTATCACAAGCACATAGCTGCCAGTACTCTGCTCCTTTTGTGTTATTCACAGACACTGCAACAGAACATGAGTGTAGATTTTGCTACATATGGGTGCACAGAGAGCTTGTGGATGTGTTTGCGGTAAGAGTGTACCAGAACATCTAAAACTATAATAAACCAGATGTCAGTTGTGAGATCATTTCAAGTGTAATTTGGTAACCAAAAATCCCCTTGTTGGGTTCAATGAAGCTCAAAGAGTTCTCACTAACAAAAACCCCCATGTGTTGCTATGTGAAGGAATATAGGAGCTGCCAGACATTCACCCGAAGGATATTCACATATCTCCAGGGGAGACACCTATCTACCTCAAACTGTAAGCACAAGGTAGAGTCAGGCAACGGCCCCAATGAACACTAAGGTTCTGGGAAGCTGCTGGAAATGTGTCATAAAGTTGCACCTCATCGGGAACGAGTAGTTAGCATAATGGCTATGTCGCTGGACTCCCACGTAGTCGACCGCGGTTCGCATCCCGGACCCGGTGGCGCGTGTGCGTGCGTGCCCAAGATCCCAAGAGGAGAACGGAGGGGAAGGGGTTGCGGCGTGACCATCACCCCTGGGTGGGGGGGATTTCTCGCTTTCTGTCTCTATGTCTCTGTCTGTCTGGCAAGCGCACGTGCCCTATAGTGAAAACCCCTCCAAAAAAAAAAAAAAAAAGAAGAAGAAGAAAAGCTGCACCTCATACAAACAAAACTACAGGTTTAAAAGAACAGCTCCTCTTCTTTCTATCTGCATCCCTCCTCTCCCAGCTCACATGGCTCAGCTGTGAAAATAGGAAGTTCATGAAAATAGGAAGTGAAAAGATGGGAGACTTGAAGAAAAGAAGCCCAATAACAAAAGCACAGGGTCCATCGAGGCTATTAGTTCCATCATCACCGCCAAATAAGCTTAGTACCCACAAAGAACTGACCTGCGACATCCAGATGGAAGGAGACCTTCTGGCCCCCAGCCTCACAGCTGTACTCCCCGGCATCTGCCTTGCCTGCCTGTTGCACCACCAGCTGCCGTCTGCACCCTGTTGCTTCCACGTGCACTTTTGAGCTTGAGCTCAGCTTCTTCCCATTCTTGTACCAGGTCACCTCCGTCTGGGCTTGGGCCACTTCACAACTCAGTATGGCACTGACCCCTGCTTCAGCCTTAACCTCACTGTGTGCTGGCTGCTCCTTGGCAAACACCACAGCAGGCTCTGGGGACAGAAAATTTAATTAAGTGTATGAATATCTAGCTGAAGATACTGACCTTGATCTTGATAATAGCTTAGTCAATTTTAATTTTTTGTATTTACCTTGGAAGATTTTTATATTGATATGTTTACCTACATAAAATGAGTTGGAAAATTTATCTCTTTTATCAATATTCTAAAAGAATCTTTATGAACACAGAACAATTTTGTTCTATAGTACTTGTTACCTTTTATCAGTAGAGTCACTGAGTTTTGACATTATTTAATGAGAGGATTATTTATTTTGGTCCCATTTCTTTAGAAGTCAGAGGACTTTTCAACTTATCTAGTTTTCTTGAGAAAATTTTGATATCATTTCATAGATGGATCACTTTGACAAAACTTTTCAAATTTACCTACACAAAATAATGATATTCTCATGTAATGTCTCAAGTGTATATACAGTACATTTTTGGGTAGCTATACAAACTCACGAACTATTATATAATGATGGGATACCCAAGTGTTAAGTGTTGACAACTATCAATCAAATGTCTAAGTGCAATCCATCTCCATTTGATATAAAGACATTTATCAAAGGAAAGCAATTGGTGCTCATGCTTCTCTATCAATCAGAAAGGGAATAACAGATACACATAAATTATTAGGGAAGTGCTATAAAATATAGGCTGAACATCCCTAATCTGAAAATCCAAAATCTGAAATGTTCCAAAAACCAAAACTTTTTAAACACCGACATGATGCCAAAGTCACCTGACCTCATGGGACAGGTTGTAGTAAAAATTTTGCAATTAAAAAAACCCCACTGTATTAGGGTCCAGCAGTTGGTGTAATGGCTATGTCACTGGACTCCCAGGTAGTCGACCACGGTTCGCCTCCCGGACCCAGTGGCTGAAAACTCACGCCGGGCACGTGTGCGCGCATGCCCAAGATCCCAAGAGGAGAAGGGATTGCAGTGTGGCCATCCCCCCTGTGGGGTGATTTCTCACTTTCTGTCTCTCTGTCTCTGTCTGCCTGGTGAGCACACACACCCTATAGCAAGAACCTCTTCAAAAAACAAACAAACAAACAAACAAAACACTGCATTAAATTATCTTCAGGCAATGTGTATTAGGTGTCTATGAACAGGAACAAATTCTGTGTTAAGACTTAGGTCTTATCCCCAAAGTATCTTGCTATGTATATGCAAATACTCCAGAATCTAAAAACTCTGAAACCTAAAAACACTTCCAGCCCCAAGCATTGAAGATAAGGGATATTTAACCTGTACTATGATACCTCTACAGAAACTCACCTTAAATGAAATGTCATGTGGGTTAATCTATCTAGTCTTTTTGTTTATAAATTTAAGTTTTTATACATTTGTTTTTCATGAGGCCAAGAGACAGAGACAAAGCAGAGAGGAGGTAGAGAGAGGAAGACAAGCACCCTCAACAGTGTCCTGTACTGTGATTACCACCTAGCCAAGATCATGGGTATGCACCGGATACGCATAGGTCAACCAAGGAACTAAAACTGCAGTATCCTACATGGACCCAATTCTTCTTGAGCTGCTGCTGCACCACAGACCTGGCTCTATTTCTAAGTTTGTAAGTCAAAGAACAAAGATAATTGAAATGCAAAATGTTCTAACTTAAGACAAAATGAAAATAAGATTAGTTTTAAGAAAAGAATTCCAGGGCTGGCAGGTGGCATGGTGGTTAGGAGCACTGGACTCCCACATGGTCGACTGCGGTTTGAGTTCTGGACCTGGCAGCTTGCTTTCTCACTTTCTTCCTCTCTCTCTTACTCTGTCTCTCTCTGGTCAAATTTAAATAAATAAATTAATTTAATTTAATAATTTTTTAAAAAAATAAAATAATTCCTAACCCCACAGGTGTCTATCACAGCACATATCCACTACTTCCCTGTCCTTTGTTATGCACAATACAATAAAATATGAATCTAGACTTACTGGTGCATAGAAAGATTCTAGATCTACAGGAAAGAGGAAAGTGTGTCCCAGAACACCTAAAACTCAGTCATGAGATAATTCCAGGCATAATTACGTGGCCGAAATGTCATCTCATCCTAGTGAATTCAAACATCTCTCAATTGTGCAAGTCCTCATCTGGTGCTGGAGAGGACGAAAGGGATCTCCCAAAACATTCCCAGGTAAAAGACATGTAGTCTACATCAGTCTCAGGCATCCTATAGGACCAAGGTGCTAAGACGATGTGACTGAAGGTACCAGCAAGATATGATGACGTGTAAATACAACTCGAAGTGTACAGAATGACTCCTTTTCTTTCTTTCTTTCTTTCTTTCTTTCTTTCTTTCTTTCTTTCTTTCTTTCTTTCTTTCTTTCTTTTATTTTTGCTATAGGGTGTGTGCATTCACCAGAGCGACAGAGACAGAAAGCGAGAAATCACCCCCTAAGGAGATCATCATGATCCACTCTCCAGGATTTGGGCATGCACACACACCCACCCAGAGTGAGTTTCAAGAAGCCAAATCTTATTGACTAGGCCAATAAGAACCCAGCAACATAACCATTATGACATCTGTTGATCCCAACCCCTCTTCTTAAAATATACATCTTTCTATGCCCACTCCCTTGGCGCAGCCATGGATATGAACATGAGAGGTGAGAGAATGGGAGCTTCACAAGAGAAAGTCTAATGGAAAGGGAACCAGGATCCCAAGCTATCAGCCTGGCTCTTTATCAACATCTCTAATCAAGGATAACTAAGTTGATAAGCCAAAGGACTGACCTGTGACATCCAGGTGGAAGGAGACTTTCTGGCCCCCGGCCTCACAACTATACTCCCCGGCATCCTCCTTGCCCGCCTGCTGCACCACCAGCCGCCGACCATGGCCTGTGGCCTCCACCGAACTCAGCTTCTTTCCATCCTTGTACCACGTCACCTCTGTCTGGGCTTGGGCCACCTCACAGCTCAGTGTGGCACTGGCCCCAGTCACAGCCTTTACCTCGCTATGTGCTGGCTGCTCCTTGGCAAAGACCACCTTGGGCTCTGGAGACAGACAAGGAAGGAAACACAAAGTCAAAGAAATCCTCTAGGTAGGAAAGGCAGCACTGAGGAAGAAGGCCTGGACAGAGACACAGGAGGACAGAACTTCTCCAGGCTTTGGGCCAACTGTGGCCTGGGGATGCCCCACCTCCTTCTTAACAAGAAGTAATCACAACTTTTCTATGCATTCTGCCAATGTTCCATTGAGTTTTTCCACACTAGACCTCTGTAAAAGGTCGTCCTGCACACATGCTCCACTACAGGAGGGACTGAGGGCCATAACACATTCACACCTCCACCACACCATCTCTCCCAGGTAGCTGTGTAGGGTCCAGTCTCCCCCAAGTGGCTGTGCAGGGTACATTCTCATTCTCACTGCATAGCCTGAGACATTCCCGGGCTCTCCACTCTTGCCTGCTCTTAGTGTTGTCAGCTGCTAGCCTCTGTGGACTTCCTGTGGCTTTCTAGTGCTCTATCCATATGACTCACAAGATGGGACTCCTTCTGATGTTTTTTGTTCCTATGGCTTGCTCTGTAGTGTCACTGCTCAAGTCTTTTGCCCAATTTTCAATAGTTTTATCTGTTCCTTTCTTATTCATTATTAAGAGGTCTATTCACATTCTAGAGCATTTATTTATCTTTCACACAGTGTGACTTACGGATTCACTGTCGTGTAGTGTTTTCTAATGAATCAGTCTTTCATGTTAATATAATCAAATATACTACCTTTTTTTCTTTCTTTCTTTCTTTAAAGACATGATCTTGTCATGTAGATCCTCCTATTTCAGCCTGTTAGTTGAGACTACAGGCATGTACCACCATACCAGGCTCTCTATGCTCAGTGTCCCCAAGTTGCTGAGATTACAGGTGCATGCCACTGTACCCAGCCTTTGGGTAGTGGAATTACGTGGGCACCACACTTGACATTCAGGTTATTGCGATTATATGTGCACACCACCACTCAAAGCCTTTAGGTTGGACCAGAAACTCAATCTGGTCCTCCCACGTGACCCCAGCTTGTGGAGCACGTCATATTAGTGTGCCACTGGCTGTCTTCATTACTATAAATTTATAATAATTCTTGACATTGTTAAATAAGTGCTCACACTTCGTTCTTCTTTAAGAGTGTATTGGTTGGGGGACCAGCAGTTGGCATGATGGCTATGTCGCTGGACTCCCACGTAGTTGACCACGGTTCGCGTCCCGGACCCGGTGGCTTAAAACTCATGCCGGGCGCGTGTGCGTGCGTGCCCAAGGTCCCGAGAGGAGAGTGGAGAAGAAGGGATTGTGGAGTGGCCATCACCCCAGGGGGTGATTTCTCGCTTTCTGTCTCTTTGTCTCTCTCTGTCTATCTGGCGAGCGCACGCGCCCTATAGCAAAAACCTCTTAAAAAAAAAAAAAGAGTGTATTGGTTGAGGCCAACAGGTGGTGTAGCAGTTAAGGCACTGGACTCCCACATGGTCAACTGCAGTTTGAGTCCCAAACCGGAAAGTTTAAAAATCATGACACACACATGTGCATACATGCCCAAAATCCCATAAGGATAATGGAGGAGAAAGAACTGTGGCATGGCCATCCACCCTGGGGGGTGATTTCTCACTTTTCTTTTCACTATCTTTGTCTGTCTCTCTCTAGTGAGCACATGCATCCTATGGCAAAAACCTTTAAAAAATAGAGTATATTGGTTTAACTTGGCCTCCAAATGCGATTTTCATTTGTCAAAACCAGCCTACTCCACATGAATATTTGGGTTTTGATTGCCAGTGATCATTTTCCTTCCTTCCATGTGGTGTTGAAGTGACACAATTAGGAAATGAAAAGATTATTTAAATAAAAGAAATTAAAATATACACTGGAGAGACAGCTGATCTACCTAATATGCTAGGGCCAGATAGAGCTAGATACCTGGACCCTAAAGACAGTGAGGGTTCAAAGGAGGTGCTCAAAATACATAATTAAACATTACAAACACAAAATATCCCTCCAGGTGTACAAGAAAAGCCCTATCCCTTCCCATACAGCCTTCCTTGGCCAGCCACAGATATGAATATGGGAGATGGGAGGATGGGATCTTCATTAAATGAAGTCTAAAGGAAAGGGAACCAGGATCTGCCCAAACTATCAGCCTGGCTCTTTATCAACATCTCTAATCAAGGCTAACTAAGTTGATAAGCCAAAGGACTGACCTGTGACATCCAGGTGGAAGGAGACTTTCTGGCCCCCGGCCTCACAACTGTACTCCCCGGCATCCTCCTTGCCCGCCTGCTGCACCACCAGCCGCCGACCACGGCCTGTGGCCTCCACACGCACTTTGGAGCTCGAACTCAGCTTCTTTCCATCCTTGTACCACGGGCCCCCCCCCCAGCTCGTGGTGCCCCTGCCCCCAGTCACAGCCTTTACCTCACTATGTGCTGGCTGCTCCTTGGCAAAGACCACCTTGGGCTCTGGAGACAGACAAGGAAGGAAACACAAAGTCAAAGAAATCCTCTAGGTAGGAAAGGCAGCACTGAGGAAGAAGGCCTGGACAGAGACACAGGAGGACAGAACTTCTCCAGGCTTTGAGCCAGCTCTGCAGCCTGGGGATGCCCCACCTCCTTCTCAGCAAGAAATAATCACAACTTTTCTATGCATTCTGCCAATGTTCCATTGAGTTGTTCCAGGTTGGACCTCTGTAAAAGATCGTCCTGTACACATACTCCACTACAGGAGGGACTGAGGGCCATAACACATTCACACTTCCACCACACTTGTGGTACACAGTCTCCCCCAGGTACAGTCTCCCCCAGATAGCTGTGCAGGGTACATTCTCATTGCACGGCCTGCGAGATTCCCAGGCTTCATACTCTTGTCTGCTCTTAGTGTTGTCAATCACTGGTCTCTGTGGGAATGCTCAGACTTCCTGTGGCTTTCTAGTGCTCTGTCCATAGGACTCACAAGATGGAGCACCTCCTGATGTTGTTGATCATTAGAGCTTGCTCTGTAGTGTTACTGCTCAAGTATTTTGCTTAATTTTCAATAATTTTGTCCTTTTCTTATTTTTTTTAGGAAGCCTAGTCACATTCTGGAGCATTAATTTATTTTCCACACTGTGTGGCTCTTGGGTTTTTTCTCTTATAGTGTCTTCTAATAAATCAAATTTTTTCATTTTAATATAATCAAATATGCTACTTTTTCCCCCTTTCTTCAAAGTCATGATCTTGCCATGTTGAGCTGAGACTACAGGCGTGCACCACCACCAGGTTCTTCATGCCTCAGCCTCCCCAAGTTGCTAGGATTACAGCTGCACCTGACCTTTCAGTTGCTTGGATTACAGGTGCACATCACCATTCATAGCCTCTAGGTTGGACCAGAGATTGAATCTTATCCTCCCATGCAGTCCCAGCTTGTGGAGCATAGCATCTTGTGTGCCACTGCAGCTGTACCCTAAAATATATTGTTCCTGCCCAATGCAGAATGCTTATCTCAGAACGCTTTCCTTAATCTGACGTCTTTAACCAATGTGTAACGTCATCTAAGAGACTAATGGTTTCACTTACTTGTCTCTAACTCACTTGGAGTTGCCTTTTGTAGGGGTATGATCTGCCGGACAACTATTTTTATCTTGTTTATTAGCCTAAAATGTCTATGAAAAATAATTCTTTCTTTACTCTTTGGAAAGTGTAAGTAATGAGGATGATGAGGGATTCCATTCGTTCTTGGGTTCCTATTGGACTCACTATTCTGTTCCTTTCATCCATCTCTCTCTGCATTGAGAACTAGCTGTTTCATTGGTACAGGTTTAAAATTGTTCTTGATACTGTTAGAGAAAATGCTCACACTTTGCTCTTCTTTAAAAGCATATGAGTTAAACCTGGCCTTCTAATCTGCTTGTATGTGGTCAAAACCACCCTATTCCACGTGAATATTGGGATTTGGATAGCTAGTGATCATTCTTCCTTCTTCACATGGAAGGAACCATGGATATGAAAATGGGAGATGGCAGGTGAGAGGACGGAAGCTTCAGGAGGTGAAGTCTAATGGAGAAGGAACCGGAGTCTGCCCAAGCTATCAGCCTAGCTCTTCATCAACATCTCTAAACAAGGCTAACTAAGTTGATAAGCCAAAGGACTGACCTGTGACATCCAGGTGGAAGGAGACTTTCTGGCCCCCGGCCTCACAACTGTACTCCCCGGCATCCTCCTTGCCCGCCTGCTGCACCACCAGCCGCCGACCACGGCCTGTGGCCTCCACACGCACTTTGGAGCTCGAACTCAGCTTCTTTCCATCCTTGTACCACGTCACCTCTGTCTGGGCTTGGGCCACCTCACAGCTCAGTGTGGCACTGGCCCCAGTCACAGCCTTTACCTCGCTATGTGCTGGCTGCTCCTTGGCAAAGACCACCTTGGGCTCTGGAGACAGACAAGGAAGGAAACACAAAGTCAAAGAAATCCTCTAGGTAGGAAAGGCAGCACTGAGGAAGAAGGCCTGGACAGAGACACAGGAGGACAGAACTTCTCCAGGCTTTCAGCCAGTTCTGTGGCCTGGGGACACCTCACCTCCTCAACAAGAAGAAATCACAATTTTTCTATGCATTCTGCCAATGTTCCATTGAGTTGTTCCAGGTTGGACCTCTGTAAAAGATCGTCCTGTACACATACTCCACTACAGGAGGGACTGAGGGCCATAACACATTCACACCTCCACCACACTTGCGGTACACAGTCTCCCCCAGGTAGCTGTGTAGGGCACATTCTCACTGCACAGCCTGAGAGTTTCTCGGGCTCCACACGCTTGCCTGCTCTTAAGTGTTGTCAGCCACTGGCCTCTGTGAGAATGCTTGGACTTCCTGTGGCTTTCTAGTGCTCTGTCCATAGGACTCACAAGATGAGCACCTTCTGATGTTTTTGTCCTTATGGCTTGCTCTGTAGTGTCACTGCTCAAGTATTTTGCCCAATTTTCAATAGTTTTGTCTTTTTCTTATTCTTTTTTTAAGAGGCCTATTGACATTCTAGAGCATGTACCTTCCATACTATGTCTCATGCCTTGCTCTTTTATAGCGTCTTCTAATGAATCCAAGTTTTTTCTTTCTAATGCAGTCAAATATGTTACTCATTTTTTTTAAGACAGGGTCTTGCTTGTTTACCCTCCTGTCTTAGCCTCTCAGATGAGACTACAAGCATGCACTACTGTTCCAGACTCTTTATGCCTCAGCCTCCCCATGTTGCTACGATTACAAGTGTCTGCCACCATACCCAGGCTTTAGATTGGACTAGAAATTGAATTTTGTACCCTCATATGGCCCCAACTTGTGAAGCACAGGATCTTAGCAGTTTATGCCCCTGAAGCTAGGCACTAAAATACGTTATTCCTGCTCTGTCGCAGTTAGTGCATTTATGTTCATCTCAGATCTCTGTTTTGACCCTGATGTCTTTAAGCAATGTGTATCATCATCTAAGTGTGCTTTTCACCTAGTGTCTCTAACTCACCTCTAGCTGCCTTTTGTGTGTGGTATGAGCCACCAGACAACTTTCTTTCTTATCTCTTCAAATAGCCCAAAACGTTTTTATGGAAACTATTCTTTCCATACTCCACAGGTGTGAAAAACAAGGAAAGGTAAGGGATCCATTCATTCTTTTTTTTTTTTTTTTGGAGAGGTTTTCGCTATAGGGCGCGTGCGCTCGCCAGACAGACAGACAGAGACATAGAGACAGAAAGCGAGAAATCACCCCCCAGGGGGGATGGTCACACCGCAATCCCTTCTCCTCCATTCTCCTCTCGGGATCTTGGGCACACACGCACACGCGCCCGGCGTGAGATTTAAGCCACTGGGTCCGAGACGCGAACCGCAGTCGACTACGTGGGAGTCCAGCGACATAGCCATTACGCTAACTGCTGGTTCCCGGGATCCATTCATTCTTAGGTTGCTTTGGACTCTCTATTCTGTTCCTTTGGTCTATCAGTCTCTGAATTGACAAATGTCTATGTTACTGCAGCTTTATATTAATTTTTGATATTGGTAGAAAAAATGCTCACACTTTCCTTTCTTTCCAAGTGCATTGGTTAAACATGGCCTTCAAATCTGCTTTTCAGTAGTCAAAAACACCATACTTCACATAAATATTAGTTTGGATTTTGATTGCTCATAATCATCTTTTTTTCTTCATTGTATTTCTATCCATTTATTTATATCTTCTCTAATGTCTCTCAAAAATGTCTAATAATTTAGGCCCAGCAGGTGGTGTGGTGGTTAAGGCATTGGATCCCACATGGACAACTCCATGGTGTAATTCTCAGACCTAGCATCCCAAAAAATACATGGAACATGTGTGCATGCATGCCCAAAATCCTGACAGGAGAATGGAACAGAAGAGACTGTGGCATGGCCAACCCCCCTGGAGGGTGATTTTTCACTTTCCCTTTCCCTCTGTCTCTGCTTCTCTCTCTCTCTCTCTCACTCTCTCTCTCTCCCTCTCTCTCTCTCTCTCTCTCTCTTTCTCTGACGAGTGCATGTACCCTGTAACAAAAAATCTAAAAAAAAAAAAAGTTTAATAATTCTTCCCTGAACAGCCCTTAAACATCTTTTTTAACACTTGGAGTCAGAAAGGTACTTCTGATCCTATTACGAAGTTTTTAATGTGCATTTTCTTTCTTTTCTTTTTTTCTTTTTTGAGAGATTTTTGCTATAGGGCACATGAGCTTCACCCGAGAGACAGAGAAAGAAAGTGAGAAATCATCCCCATGAGGATAGCCACGCTGCAAGCCCTTCTCCATTCTCCTTTCAGGATTTTTGGCATGCACGCACGCACACACGCACAGAGCATGAGTTTCAAGCCACTAGGTCCAGAACTCAAGCCACAATCGACCACATGCGAGTCCAGCACATTAAACACTATGCCACCTGCAGGCCCCTAATTTGCATTTTCTAACTTTGTTAATACACAAGGGTACTTGGAAAAATTTACAGAAAAATTATATTACAGTAAAAGTTTTACTCCCAGCAGATGGCATGGTGGTTGGGATGCTGAAGACCCACATGACCAATTCAAGTCCCAGATCCAGCAGCTTGAAAAATCACAATAAATAAATAAATAAATAAATATTTTCTTTAAAAAAATTAAAAATTCAAGTTTTATTTGGTGCAAAAAATTTGGAAATTTGGGACCAGCAGATAGGCTACATCACTGGATTCCCATGTAGTCGACCGCAGTTTGAGTCCCGGACCTGGTGGCTTAAACTCACGCTGGGCACATGTGCGTGTGTGCCCAAGATCCCGAGAGGAGAATGGAGGAGAAGGGATTGCAGCGTGGCCATCCCCGCTGGGGGATGATTTTTCACTTTCTGTCTCTCTGTCTCTCTCTGTCTTTCTGAAGAGCACACATGCCCTATAGCAAAAACCTCTCGAAAAATTTTTTTGAAATTTATGCATCATTTTTTCATATATGCATTTTCCATGAAGTTATTAAAGACCAATTATATAGAGAGACATGTTTTCTATATATTTATATTTGTGTATATTATCTTGCTCAGTGCTCTTATTAAGTCTGATATTTTAACTTGGGATTCTCAGAATTGATAAGTCATATCTGTAAGTCAACTTTATTCCAATCTTCTACCTTTGATTTTACTTTCCTCCTTTTTGTTCTATAATATGTTGGAAAGAAGTGCTGACAGTGGCCCTCTTCCGTTCTTCTGTGCCTTTACAGATAAATCTTTCAAGTAAGAATAAAACCATTTATTGATGCTTTGTCAATAATTTTCTTGTCAAGAATCAATGCTAAATCAAACTTAATTTGCATTTATTGAAAAAAATCACATCGTTACTCCCTTTTCATCAGATGTCATGCATAACATTTTCTAATGTTCAAACATTAAACCAACACTGCATTTCTAGGTTTATCACAGTGCACTTTTCTCTTGACATACTACTTGATCCACTTTCAAAATATTTTGTTGAAGATATCCGTAGAGATTGGGCTATAATTTCAAATCTTCAGGTTTCTGTATCCATGTTATGCCATCTACTTAAGACAGGTTAGAGAGTGTAACTGCTTTTTCTAGTCTCTAAAAAAAAAGTCTCCATGAATTTGGAATAATTTTTTTCCAGAATATTTAGTGTAAGTAGAACAACAGAGTTTCGACCTTTCTCTGTGAAAACATTTTTATTATTGATTCCATTTATTTAAAAGTTATAGGACTATTTAAATGGTCTATTTCTTCTCATGTAACTTTTTATGTTGTTTTCGAAGAAACTATTAGGTCATCAAAAAAATCATGATGTATTTTTAATGTTTTTCTATGCAAAAAAAAAAAAAAAGGCATCATGACTTTTCTGACAGCCCAATAGATAATTTGCCAAAATGTATCAGATTTATTGCCAAAACATAATTCGTCATATTCTCTTAAAACAACATATTAGAAAGATACATAGTGGGATTTGGGGTATCTATACACAACCACAAACTACTGTATACTGATACAATACCAAATTGCTGTATGTTGGCACCTAGGAGTCATTATGGTATCACATGCTAACACTCTCTTAGTAAAAGAGAATGAATTTAGTTATCAGACTTCCCTACAACTCAACCAGGGCAGCACAGACACACATAAGTCATTAGGAAATTGTAGGAAATAAATGCTGTTTTAATCAGTCAATGGCTACAACTATGGCAACTCATCTTTAACAAAGAATGCTGGTGTAGCATAAATTACTTATTCCTTTCCGTATCTAAAATTATAAACAAATTCCACAGGATAATTCTGACACAGAATGTTCTAACTAAAGACAAAAGGAAAATAATGTTTTCCTTAAAAATATAATTCTAGATAGTTTAAAAGTATCACAGATGCATACCTACCAATCCTGTTACTGGTTTACTTTGCATAAACATTGTGAAAAAGCATAGGTCCTGATTTTGTCCTATGTAAATGCATAGAGAGCTTTTTATCTACATTAAATGAGAGAAGAGCATCCCAGAACATCTAAAATTTTGATAATCCAAAGTCAGTCTTGAGATAATTCCAAGTATGATCTGGTGGCCATAATTTCCCTTTAAACTGGTTCAAACAAATTGAAATGCCTCTCATTAGCAAGAACCTGCATGTGGTGCATTTTGAAAGGAGAGCACTTGGGAACTACTACATCATATAAAGAAAGTGATCCAAGTATTCCGTGGAGAGACATATGGTCTACCTCATATTCTAAGGTCAGACAAAGCTAGACACCTAGACACCAAAGAAAACGGTAACTCAGAGGAGGGGCTTATTAAAACACTACAAACTGAATATACCCTTCCAGGTGTACAAGAAAAGCCCTATCCCTTCCCATTCAACCTTCCTTGGCCCAGCCATACATATGAAAATGGAAGATGGAAGGATGGGAATTTCATGAGATGGAGTCTAATGGAAAGGGAATCAAAGGCCAAAAACCTCTCGAAAAATTTTTTTGAAATTTATGCATCATTTTTTCATATATGCATTTTCCATGAAGTTATTAAAGACCAATTATATAGAGAGACATGTTTTCTATATATTTATATTTGTGTATATTATCTTGCTCAGTGCTCTTATTAAGTCTGATATTTTAACTTGGGATTCTCAGAATTGATAAGTCATATCTGTAAGTCAACTTTATTCCAATCTTCTACCTTTGATTTTACTTTCCTCCTTTTTGTGCTATAATATGTTGGAAAGAAGTGCTGACAGTGGCCCTCTTCCGTTCTTCTGTGCCTTTACAGATAAATCTTTCAAGTAAGAATAAAACCATTTATTGATGCTTTGTCAATAATTTTCTTGTCAAGAATCAATGCTAAATCAAACTTAATTTGCATTTATTGAAAAAAATCACATCGTTACTCCCTTTTCATCAGATGTCATGCATAACATTTTCTAATGTTCAAACATTAAACCAACACTGCATTTCTAGGTTTATCACAGTGCACTTTTCTCTTGACATACTACTTGATCCACTTTCAAAATATTTTGTTGAAGATATCCGTAGAGATTGGGCTATAATTTCAAATCTTCAGGTTTCTGTATCCATGTTATGCCATCTACTTAAGACAGGTTAGAGAGTGTAACTGCTTTTTCTAGTCTCTAAAAAAAAAGTCTCCATGAATTTGGAATAATTTTTTTCCAGAATATTTAGTGTAAGTAGAACAACAGAGTTTCGACCTTTCTCTGTGAAAACATTTTTATTATTGATTCCATTTATTTAAAAGTTATAGGACTATTTAAATGGTCTATTTCTTCTCATGTAACTTTTTATGTTGTTTTCGAAGAAACTATTAGGTCATCAAAAAAATCATGATGTATTTTTAATGTTTTTCTATGCAAAAAAAAAAAAAAAAGGCATCATGACTTTTCTGACAGCCCAATAGATAATTTGCCAAAATGTATCAGATTTATTGCCAAAACATAATTCGTCATATTCTCTTAAAACAACATATTAGAAAGATACATAGTGGGATTTGGGGTATCTATACACAACCACAAACTACTGTATACTGATACAATACCAAATTGCTGTATGTTGGCACCTAGGAGTCATTATGGTATCACATGCTAACACTCTCTTAGTAAAAGAGAATGAATTTAGTTATCAGACTTCCCTACAACTCAACCAGGGCAGCACAGACACACATAAGTCATTAGGAAATTGTAGGAAATAAATGCTGTTTTAATCAGTCAATGGCTACAACTATGGCAACTCATCTTTAACAAAGAATGCTGGTGTAGCATAAATTACTTATTCCTTTCCGTATCTAAAATTATAAACAAATTCCACAGGATAATTCTGACACAGAATGTTCTAACTAAAGACAAAAGGAAAATAATGTTTTCCTTAAAAATATAATTCTAGATAGTTTAAAAGTATCACAGATGCATACCTACCAATCCTGTTACTGGTTTACTTTGCATAAACATTGTGAAAAAGCATAGGTCCTGATTTTGTCCTATGTAAATGCATAGAGAGCTTTTTATCTACATTAAATGAGAGAAGAGCATCCCAGAACATCTAAAATTTTGATAATCCAAAGTCAGTCTTGAGATAATTCCAAGTATGATCTGGTGGCCATAATTTCCCTTTAAACTGGTTCAAACAAATTGAAATGCCTCTCATTAGCAAGAACCTGCATGTGGTGCATTTTGAAAGGAGAGCACTTGGGAACTACTACATCATATAAAGAAAGTGATCCAAGTATTCCGTGGAGAGACATATGGTCTACCTCATATTCTAAGGTCAGACAAAGCTAGACACCTAGACACCAAAGAAAACGGTAACTCAGAGGAGGGGCTTATTAAAACACTACAAACTGAATATACCCTTCCAGGTGTACAAGAAAAGCCCTATCCCTTCCCATTCAACCTTCCTTGGCCCAGCCATACATATGAAAATGGAAGATGGAAGGATGGGAATTTCATGAGATGGAGTCTAATGGAAAGGGAATCAAAGGCTTCCCAAACTATCAGCCTGGCTCTTTATCAATATCTCTAATCAAGGCTAACTAAGTTGATAAGCCAAAGGACTGACCTGTGACATCCAGGTGGAAGGAGACTTTCTGGCCCCCGGCCTCACAACTGTACTCCCCGGCATCCTCCTTGCCCGCCTGCTGCACCACCAGCCGCCGACCACGGCCTGTGACCTCCACACGCACTTTGGAGCTCGAACTCAGCTTCTTTCCATCCTTGTACCACGTCACCTCTGTCTGGGCTTGGGCCACCTCACAGCTCAGTGTGGCACTGGCCCCAGTCACAGCCTTTACCTCGCTATGTGCTGGCTGCTCCTTGGCAAAGACCACCTTGGGCTCTGGAGACAGACAAGGAAGGAAACACAAAGTCAAAGAAATCCTCTAGGTAGGAAAGGCAGCACTGAGGAAGAAGGCCTGGACAGAGACACAGGAGGACAGAACTTCTCCAGGCTTTGAGCCAGCTCTGTGACCTGGGATACCCCCATCACCTTAGTAACAAGTAACCACAACTGCCACTGATCTGTGGAGTGGTTCTAGGTGGGAATGTAATGAAAGATCCTCCTGGACAGATGGTCCCCTATAGGAGGGACTGAAGTTCATGACACATGCACACCTCTACCACACTCATGGTCCAGAGTCTTCCACATGTCACCCTGCAGGGGACCTTCTCACCGCAGTGCCTGAGAGTTCCCCAGACAACATGATCTTGTTTGCCTTTCCCCTCCCATACAGCATCCCTTGGCCCAGCCAGAGGTATGAAAATGGGAGGTGAAAGAACAGAAAATCTGAAGAGATGGAGCCTAAGAGAAAGTGCAGAAATGTCTGTTGGGTCTTTAAGCCAGTCCCACTATCACTACAGAACAACCTAACTTAGTATCCCCAAAGAACTGACCTGTGACATCCAGGTGGAAGGAGACCCTCTGGCCCCCCACCTCACAGCTGTACTCCCCAGCGTCCATCTTGCCCGCCTGCTGCACCACCAACCGCCTTGTGCAGCCTGAGGCCTCCACATGCACTTTTGCACTTGAGCTCAGCCTCTTCCCATCCTTGTACCATGTCACCTCCGTCTGGGCTTGGGCCACCTCACAGCTCAGTGTGGCACTGGCACCTGCCACAGTCTTTACCTCACTACGTGCTGGCTGCTCCTTGGCAAACACTGCCTTGGGCTCTATAAACAGAGAGGGATACACAGAGCCAAAGATACCATCTCAGTCAGGAAGGCCAAAAGGAGGAAATAAGCCCTACCGTAGCTGTGGAAAAGAAGTACAGAAACTTCTCCATGCCCTGTACTAGCAGCAAAGCCCAAGCACCTTCTCAGCAACAAATAACCACAATTTAACCACACAGTCCGCCACTGTTCTGTGAGGTTTTTCCAGGCAGGGCTGCTGGAAACACACACACACACACACCTCCAGGAGAAGGACCATGGGTCATGACATATGCACCCTTCCACCACACTCATGGTGCAGGTTATGCAGGTTATGCAGGGAGACAGGGCATGTTCTCCCTATGGTGCCTGACAGTTCCCAAGGCTCCACATTCTTGTCAGTTACTAGCTCTGATGGAAGTGCTTGGCTTCCTTGTGACTTTCTAGTGCCCGATTTTCAACAGTATTGTCTGTCTATGCATATTAATTGTTAGGAGATCTATTCACATTCTAGAGTATTTATCTTCCACACTATACTACATAGTTTGTGGGGTTTATCATAATTCATTTAATATATGTATCAAAATGCCATACTATACTCCATAAATATTTGCAACTATTATATGTCAGTTGAAAATAACTGCTTGGGACCAGTAGATGGTGTAGCTGGATTCCTACATGGCCAACTGCAGTTCGAGTCCTGGACCCAGTGACTTAAAACTCTCACCAGGCGTGTGTACAGGCATGCCCAAGATCCCAGGAGGAAAATGAGGGAGAAAGGATTGTAGTATGGCCATCCCCCCTGGGGGGATGATTTCTCACTTTACCTCTCACTATGTCCCTCTGTCTCTCTCTCTCCAGCGAGCACATGCACCTTAAGGCAAAAACCTCTAAAAAATAAAAATAATGACTTCTTTAAAAATAAGAAGGAAAGAGGGAAGATGAGAGGTAAAGTGACGGAGGGAACACTAGGGACTATCTGGGCTCTGAGTCAGGCCTATCATTTCCAAACAAAGGTACATCACCACTCCAAAGAACTGACCTGTGACATCCAGGTGGAAGGAGACTTTCTGGCTCCCCACCTCACAGCTGTACTCCCCAGCATCCTCCTTGCCCGCCTGCTGCACCACCAGCTGCCGCCTGCACCCTGTGGCCTCCATGCGCACCTTAGAACTCGAGCTCAGCTTCTTTCCGTCCTTGAACCATGCCACCTCCGTCTGGGCTTTGGCCACCTCACAGCTCAGGGTAGCATTAGCCCCTGCCTCAGCCTTTACCTCCTTGCACACCAGCTGCTCCTTGGCAAAAGCCATTGTGGGCTCTGCAGACAGGAAAAGACAGAGTCAGATAATCCAGCTGCTGGGGTCTCTAACCCAGCTAGAGTTGACTTTATGTGTGGTATGAGTTCATTTAAATATATATATATATATCTCCACACCTGGCACAAGTCCTATAGTTTAAAAAAAATAAAATTAAGGAGGGATATAGAATAAGGTAGTTCCTTCACATGAGAGTCTGTTTCTGAGCTCATTATTCTGTTCCTTTGGTCTACATATTCATCCTTGCATTTAGATTCCATTGTCTTAATAATAGCCCTAATATCTGGCAGGAAATGCTCACACTTTGCTCTTCTTCAAGAATATTCTGGTTGTTTATGGCCTTTATGATTTGCGTGTCAATTTTCAAACCTGGCTGCTATCCCTACTTAAAAAAGAATGTTTGTAGTTTACTTGGGATTAAACATCTTTGATTCTTTCATGGATTTCATTTCATTTATTTTTATCTTAACTATCAAAATATATACAAAAATATTTCTCCCCAAGAACCTCTAAGCAACTGTTACTAGACTTGTAATTAGAAACAGTATGTTTAATGTTACATATATCTTTCAAATTTTCATTTTCTAACTGTTTCTTGCCACTTCTATATCTATATATAGAAGTGTTTTCTGTATATTTTTAATACTTGCTATAGGGAACATATACTTGTCAGAGAGAGACAATGAGAGAGAAAGAGCTAGAGAGAAAGCCCAAGTGGGGATGGTCATACTGCAATCCCTTCTCTTCCACTCTCCTTTCAGGATTTTGGGCACACACACACACAAACACACACACACACACACACACACACGGTGTGTTGTTTTATTCCAAGCCACCGGGTCCAAGACCTGAACCACGCAGCTGGCTATGTGGGATCTAGACACCTTATCCACCATGCCACCAGCTAGCTCCTATGTTGATTTATCACATAGTAATATTTTGCATCTTTTACTAAGTGTAAAACTTATCTTTTGGATAAACAGTATCACATCTATGAATTTCACTCTTGTTTTTTCAAACTTTTATGTCTTTTATTTGATTTTCCTCTTAATTGTGCTGTACAATGTTCAATAAAATTGATGGCAGTTGACTTCTTTTCCTATTCCCTATCTCAAAAGCAATATGTTCATGGTTTCACTTCCAATGTTATTAGCTGGTATGTATGAAATATCATTTATCAAAGTAATGAATACCTTTTTATTTATAATTGGTGAGATATGTTAGATCATGAATTGATGCAAACTTTAGCAAACATTTCTTCTGGATTTATGTTGCATAATTTTATCAAATACTTTATTCTACATTTAACAAATTAATTAATTACTTGATTCCTTCCAGTCTTCTAAGGTTATATATATCAATTTTGCTAATGTTACTGATATTTAAACAACCTCACATTCCTGGACCATGACTTTAGTCATAGTGTATCATCCTCTCAATGTACTGCTGAATACATTTAATAATATTTAAGACCTGTCTAATTTTAACTCTTCCTACTTTCCTTGGCAGACACAGGTATTAGTGTTACATTATCAACAGGAAACAAATCAGAGTGTATCTCCTTTTTCTATTTGCTATGAGAATCTCCATGAACACGGAATAATTTTTTTGCAGAATATTTTATATTATTTAGCCATAAAGTTATTGGGCTTAGAAATTATTCATTGAAGAGTCTTTTGTTACTGGTCCCTTTTATTAAAACTCATAGGACTGAGTTACCCACCTCTTCTTTTTTAACCATGATCAGCAATGTGGGAGTTCAGCACCCTTAACCACCATGCCACCTGGTGGCCCCACCTGTTTCTTCTTAGGTTAACTTTTAAATATTTTCCTAAGAATTTGGTCTGTCAAACTTTTTAATACTTACTATCACAAAGTAATTTAGCACATTCTCTTAATATAACATTATTAAAAAGACTCATAGTGGGTTTTTGGCATCTATATACACCCACAAATCACTGCAGGCTGATACAATACCAAATTGTTATGTGTTGGTTCCTAGGAGTCAATGTGAGACCACAGCTTACCTCTCTATGATATTAACACCCTGTTAATGAAAGAAAATAAATTTTCACACTTATTTATGGACCAGCCAGTGAGAGGCTTCAAAAAAAATTAATTATGGGGAAATGCTCTTAAATAAGTACTGCTTTACCTGCCAGTGGTTATTACTACAGTAAAACAGTTCTCAAAAAGCATGGTGACAGGGACCAGCAGGTGGCATAGTGGTTAAGACACTGGACTCCCACACGGCTGACTGCAGTTCAAATCTCATACCCACACCCAAACCATGGGCATATGTATGTGTGCACCCAAAATCCCAAGAGGAGAATGGAAGAGAAGGAATTGTGATGTGCCCATCACTCCTGGGGGTAATTTCTCACTTTCTGTATCCCTGCCTCTCTCTGTCTCTCTGGCAAGTGCACATGTCCTATAGCAAAAATCTCTCCAAAGGGGAAAAAAAGTGTGGTGGCATAGCATAAGCTACTTATTCCTTTTCATTTCTAAGTTTCGTAAGTCAAATTCCAAGAGGAAATCTGAGACAGATTTGTTTTCTTTTTGGAGGGGAAAAAAATTGCTGTAAAAAAAGAATTCTACATCTCACAGGTGCATATCACAGGTACGTATCTACCAATCTCTGCTGTTCATTTACTTTGTACAGATAGTACAAGAAAACACAAATCTAGATTTTTTGCTGTAAGTGCACAGATAATGCTATATCCATGTGAAAGGAGGGAAGAAGGTCCCAGAACACCAGAAAAATGAGATAACCCATATTCAGTCTTGAGTAGCAAGAACCCTCAAGTGGGGTTAGGAAATGAGGAGAAGGGATTGTGATGTGACCATCACCCCCGGGGGTAATTTCTCACTTTCTGTATCGCTGTTTCTCTCTGTCTCTCTGGCAAGTACACATGCCCTGTAACAAAAATCTCTTTAAAAAAAAAAAAAAAAAAAAGTGTGCTGCCTCATGCCAAAATATCCAACAGAAAGAAATTCACATCACCAGGTGAGAGAAGACTGGTCTGTCTTAGACCACAAGTGCACATAGAGCCAGAGTCCTGGACACTAAGTAACACCAAGAAGGGGCTGGGCAGAAGCTGGGTATTTGTTACCGAGCATTACTATGTGGAAACACCACTCAAAGTTCTAAGAACAACCCCACTTCCTCTGTACACTCCCTTCCCATTAGCTTTTCTTGGCTCACCCACAGGCATGAAAATGGGAGACGGAAAGATAGGAGACTAGAGAAATGAAGCTAGTGGAAGGAACACAAGATCTATCGGGCTGTGAACCAGATTCATTACCATCTTCAAAATAAAGCTGATGTAATGCGAAGAACTGACCTGTGACGTCCAGGTGGAAGGAGACTTTCTGGCCCCCGGCCTCACAGCTGTACTCCCCAGCATCCGCCTTGCCTGCCTGTTGTACTACCAGCTGCCGCCTGCACCCTGTGGCCTCCATGCGCACCTTCGAGCTCGAGCTCAGCTTCTTTCCATTCTTGTACCAGGTCACCTCCGTCTGGGCTTTGGCCACATCACAGCTCAGTGTGGCACTGGCCCCTGCTTCAGCCTTTACCTCCCTGTGGGCAGGCTGATCCTTTGCAAACACCACTGGGGGCTCTGGAGAAAGAAAGGGACACTTATCAGAGATAAAATCTATTTTACAAGGATCAAAGCTTCGGGATTTGATAGATTTTCTCCTTGAGGCCAGTGACATCATGTGTCCAGTGGGATGTGAGACTTGTGTTTACAAACACAATTATCTCCTGTCAGAGAGCCTCCAAAATACATCTTGAGAAAATCTTAACTCAAGAACAATCTGAAGATTGGTAGAAGGCAGAAGAGATTATTTCTGCCCTGTCCTTATAGGTTTATTGTCCTGACTACATGACAGCTCTACATGGCAAGTCCATGTTGTTCACTATTATGTCTTCAGATCTGCCACTTGGTATGATTTCCACAGACTGTATCCTACATTTTTTCTTGGTATAACTTACATATAAAATGCTAAGTTACCTTTACAGCTCAGTAACCTTTAGATGTGCCTATCTCCATGTAACCATAACATATTAACAAATAAAACTTTTCCCAATTCCCATGTACTATGAAACACCCCTACTCCCGAAAGTAATCACCTTTCTGAATTCTATCACCATATATTACTTTTGCCTGATCTTTTATTTCACAGAAAGAGAATTAAACATTATGAATTCTTTGAGATGTGATTTCTTCCATTCCACATACAGTCTGTAAGATCAATCCATGTTATTTCATGTAGAGATGCAGTTTGTTATTTTATGTTATTGTATAGGATTCTGTTGTATGAACACAAAAGTTAATTTTTTCTTTTCCTCTTTTGACTCCGGTCTGGGACTCAAACTGTGGTCGCCCATGTGGGAGTTTAGTGCCTTAACCACCATGCCACCTGCCAGCCTCAGCACATTACTTTCTAATGGAGAAAACAAGTTAGAGGAGACTTTAAAAAATGTTAAAGGGGCAGGATTGGCTGCCCCTATAATGTGATGATCAGAGGAAAGAGCCCTCAGAATTGAAGGTGAAGTAAATATGATTTCAAAGAAGAAAAAAAAGAAAGAGAGAGAATGTATAATATATAGCCACCAGAACTGCTAAAATAAATAATACAAACAGAAGTCCTCAAGCACAAAAAAAAAATACAAAATTTTTAAAAAGAACAAAAATACAAAGAATATTGAACACAAATCCTGGCCCTGAAATTTTGGGCTGTATGAACTTTTTTGGCAAGTTATGAAACTTCCCTTTGCTTTGTATTATAATGGAAATAATCAGAATTCCTCACATGGTTGTTGTTAAGTTTAATCGATTAAAAAGACAAGAAGGTCCTGGGACCAGCGGTTAGCATAATGGCTATGTTGCTGGACTCCCATGTAATCAACCGCAGTCCGCATCCCAGACCCGGTGGCTTGAAACTCACGCCGGGTGCATGTGCACGCGTGCCCAAGATCCTGAGAGGAGAATGGAGGAGAAGGGATTGCGGCGTGGCCATCCCCCGCCCACCCGGGGGGCGGGTAGTGATTTCTCACTTTCTGTCTCTCTGTCTCTCTCTGTCTGTCTGGCAAGCGCACGCGCCCTATAGCAAAAACCTCTTCAAAAAAAAAAAGACAAGAAAGTCCTCAGCATGTAATGAATACCTTCTAGTCAAAGTTATACGGGAAGTTTTGTAAGAAAACAGGCCTCTAGGTGGAACCTCCATATATACCATAACTCCTTAGTAAGTGTTCTAAAAAAGATAAAGGAAAAAACAACAACAACAACAAGATACCCACCTGTAACATCTAGGTGGAAGGAGACTCTCTGGCCCCCAGCCTCGCAGGTATACTCCCCGGCATCTGCCTTGCCCACCTGCTTTACCACCAACTGCCTCGTGCATCCCGTAGTCTCCACACACACTTTTGAGCTTGAGGTCAGCTTCTTCCCATCCTTGTACCATGCCACTTTCGTCTGAGCCTGGGCCACCTTGCAGCTCAGAGTAGTACTGGCCCCCACTTCAGCCTGTGCCTTGTTGCTCACTGGCTGATCCTTGGAAAATGCCACAACAGGCTCTGGAACAGGGAGGGACATACAGGGTTAGAGATAATCCAATGTCTAGAGCCAAGTAGAGCCCACCTTATTGACCTCAAAAACTGATGCCCCAGTCTCAAGCCTGTCCAGTTCTTGACTTTCTCAATGCAGATAATTCACATTTAGAAGATGCATATGATAAGAAAAGGGTTAGTTCTAGGAATCTGAAGCCTCCAGTTCAATAATTTTCAGGTTGGATTATGTTACAATTCAGGTTCTGGTACCAATGTATCATCCCAAATTCCTAATTATCTGAACAAAGAGAGGCACAAGTCGTGTTCTACACAGCAAGTATTGCTATTTTCAATGATGATTTATTAGGCAATATCAGCAGTAATAGGCACTATCCCTAAGTCACACAAAGGAATGCATTTAATGCAGCCTACAATTTCTAACAGGCCAATCACTATTGATATAATAAAATTCTTGACCTTGAAACTCTAAGTTTTTGTTAATTTACTTCTTTTTCTACATCTCACAATACTTCTAGGACCCATTCTGTTACTGTAGAGTAACTTTCCTTCTTTATGAAGTATGTTCACTGGTAATTCTTTCAGCAAGCTTATGTGAATGCTTAAACTCTCTCAAACAGCTTTCTCAAAATATCTTTACTCAACCTTCATTTTGAATATTTTAGCCAGGTATAGAATTGTAAATTGTCAGTTAGTTTTCCTCAGTACTTCAGAGATTATGCTATCATTTTCTGTGCTACTCATTGCTCTTAACTATAGTATAGATAACTGTTTTTTTCATTATTCTCTCTTTCTCTCTGATGGTTTTTAAGATTTCTTCTTGGTTTCTGGACTTCTGCAATTCACTATGATGTGTCTAACTGGGAATTAACATTTTTTATTCTTACCACGAGTCTTTGTGAGTCTTGAATTCTAAGATTCACGTTGTTAATCATTTCTAAAAACATCTCCTTAGTCTATTTTATTATTTTATAGCTTCCTTCCTTATTCCTTTATATCTTCTTCATATCTTCCTATATATCTTCCTAGAAATCCTTTTGTTTTTAAGTGTTTTTTTTTTATTATTTCTTCCAAGAGATAGAAAAAAGAACCCCATACAAGGGCCCTTATGCTACAATCTACCCCCATTCAGCTGGCCCAGATCATGGGCACACCTACACACCTGGCATAATCAGGAAGATCCCAGGGTATGAACCCAGGACTTTACCCATGTGGCTCTAGCTGCATTTCTGCTGTGTCACTCGCTGCCCTGGCCCTAGAAATCCTTTTTAAAATTTAGTTTTAACTGACAATAAAAACTCTATCATGTACAACATGTTGTTTTAAAATATGTATATGTGGTGAGATGGCTAAATTGAACTAATTAAGATATTCATTACCTTACATACTTCTTTTTTATAGTGTATGAGATAAGAACACTTGAATTCTACCATTTTAGTAATTTTCGAGAATACTATACTGTGTTATTAATTATAGCCATCATGCTGCATAATAAACAGATATACTGAACTTTCTGTCTAAAACTTTGTATCCTTAAGCAGTGTCACCTCAACCTCTACTCCCTCTCAGTCCTGGGTAACCACAAATCTACTCTCTGCTTCCGTAAGATCAATATATTTTAGCTTCCACATAAGTGAGATCAGGCATTATGTGTCTTTATGTGCCTGGCTCATTTCATTTACCATAATGTCCTCCATGGTTCAAACCGGTTGTCACAATGACAGGATTTCCTTAATCTTTTAAAGTCTGAATAGTATTCCAATGAGTATATAGACTACATTTTCTTTATTCATTCCTCTGTTGATGGACAATTCATTTGATTCAATGTCTTGGCTGTTGTAGATAAACAAGGGAGTGCAGCTATCTTTCCTAGAAGTCTTTTAGATATATTTAACCTTCTACTTTATTCTCCATGTCTGTCAATATCTCTTATTTTCTATATTACAGTAAAGAATAGTAGGCAAATTTGGGGAGAAAAAAGGTAGAATTCAAAGTCTCACCAAATAAGAAGTGAGCTTATCTTTTTTTCCTGGCTTACTGACAGGCAGCCCAAACTCCAGAAATAGGCATTTGTGCAGACAGAGGGAATTCCTGATGAATCCTCCAGCCTTCGCTCAAGGCATGGAAGAGGGACACAAATGCTCAGAGAGCGTAGAAGGCATCCTAATTTTTCCACTCATCCTCTCACACCCCAGATAATCCAGGTTTCAGACAAATAGAGTACTGAGGAGGCAAGAACATTCATCCCCAACTGAAGGAACTCTGATCATAAGGAGGAAGTGTAGGCTCTACTGATTTTTTTTCTCTTTCTTTTCTAGTGCTTGGCCCTGAACAGGTGTGGCCATGAGAAGCAGGTATTAGGCAGCATACATAAAGCTCTGGTTTTATCTGTAGAGCTGAGAGAAAACCCCAGGGAAGTAGAGAGTCCTGGAGATGCAACTGAGAGGAGTAAGCTCTGAAACTGACAATGCTAATTGTTCAGGAAATCCAGGGCTCCTCCTCAAGCTACATTTACCTGGATTAGAGCCTAATCAGCATTCCAAGGATTTTGAGCATTGGATCACTGCCTAGAACTACATGGACCACCAGACAGTACACATCCAAGACATATCCAAACAGCACTGCAAAGTCTTTGAAAACAGAGCAACCCACAGAATCCTGGCAGGAACCTACAGTCTGAATACAACCAGGCTGATTTCCAGCTCAATATAGATATAGACAGACAGATAGACAGACAGATCAGTGGATAAATATATAAGGCTAGGCCTGTAGCACACTGGTAAGCACTATAAATAAGGAGCCAGAATCTACATGGCTTATACCAGTTCAAGTCCCATCCTGGAAGCTTGAAAAACACACTAGGCACATGTGCATACATGCTCCCAAAATCCTGACAGAATGGAGAAAAGAAAGAAGAAGGAAAAAGGACTGCAGTGTGACCATGCTCCTCTCTCTCTCTCTCTCTCTCTCTCTCTCTCTCTCTCTCTAGCACATGCCCTCTAAGCAATGAAAAAGGGGGAAAAAAAAGACTGGAAAAATATATATATCAATATTCCCCATAGGATGTAAAGAAGAGTCAGAGTCTTATAATAGTCAATATAGTCAGAATGTAGTCCAAAATTATTTAGTATACAAATAACCAGGAAGCTCTCAATTAGCATGCATGTGAAAAGACCACCAACAGGTAATACAGATATTAGAATTAGTAAGACAATAATATTGAAGCATCTATTGAGAAATGACTTGACAAATAAATGCAAATACCCTTGGGCCAGTAGGCAGCACAGTGGTTAGGGTACCAGACTCTGACATGCTCAAGTCCCAACCTAGCAGCTTGCTTGCTCGCTCTCTCTCTCTCTCTCTCTCCCTCTCTCTCTCTCTCATGAGCACATGTGCCCTATAGTAAATTTTAAAATGGTACTAATAATAAATTAAACAAATAGTAATTTTTTTAAAGGTTTTTGACATAGGATGCATGAGCTCACAAAAGAGATAGAGACAGTGAAAGGGAAAGTGAGAAATCACCCTCTGGGGTGGGGGAGGTGGTCACGCTGCAATCTCTTTTCTTCCATTCCTTTCCTGGGATTTTGGGCACACACATATATGTATCTGGCATGAGTTTCAAGCTGCCAGATTCAGGACTTAAACTACTGTTGGCCATGTGGGAGTCCAGTGACTTAGTGGTCCCAAGAAACAATTCTTTAAAAAAAATAGATATCGGGACCAGCAGTTAACATAATGGCTATGTCGCTGGACTACCATGTAGTCGACCGCAGTTTGCGTCCTGGACCCGGTGGCTTAAAACTCACGCCGGGCGCATGTGCACGCATTCCCAAGATCCCGACAGAAGAATGGAGGAGAAGGGATTGCGGCGTGACCATCCCCTCTGGGGGGTGATTTCTCACTTTCTGTCTCTATGTCTGTCTGGTGAGCGCACGTGCCCTATAGCAAAAACCTCTTCAAAAAAAAAAAAATAGGAATCAAATACCCTTGTGTGGAATGGTGAAATAAAAAAGCTCAGCAAAGAAAGAGAAAATATGAAGTAGAGCGAAGTAGAACTTTTATAATTCAAAAAATATAATAATAGAGGGATCAGCAGATGGTGTGATGGTTAAGGTGCTAGATTCCCACATGGCTGATTATGGTTTGAGTTCCTGAGCAGGTGACTTGAAATTCTGTTGGGTACATGTGTGCCCAAAATCACAAGAAGAGAATGGAGGAGAAGGGACTGCAGCATGGTCATCCCCCTTGGAGGTGATTTCTCACTTTCCCTCTCTTTGTCTTCTCTCTTTGTCTCTCCAGCAAGTACACACACCCTATAGCAAAAAATTATTATTATTATTATTATTATATATAAAAAATTATTATATATAATATGTGTAATAATTGAATTATCTCACTGAATAGACTCAAAAGCAGAAGACAGATAACAGAAGAGTTAGTAAAACTGAAGCTAGAGCAATAGAAATTATACAATCTAAACAACAGTATTTTTTTTTGAGAGGTTTTTGCTATAGGGCGCATGCACTCACCAGAAAGACAGAGAGAGACAGAGAGACAATTATTATATATAATATGTGTAATAATTGAATTATCTCACTGAATAGACTCAAAAGCAGAAGACAGATAACAGAAGAGTTAGTAAAACTGAAGCTAGAGCAATAGAAATTATACAATCTAAACAACAGTATTTTTTTTTGAGAGGTTTTTGCTATAGGGCGCATGCACTCACCAGAAAGACAGAGAGAGACAGAGAGACAGAAAGAGAGAAATCACCCCCCAGGAGGGATGGCCATGCCGCAATCCCTTCTCCTCCATTCTCCTCTTGGGATCTTGGGCACGCACGCACACATACCCAGCATGAGTTTAAGCCACGGGGTCCGGGACTCAAACTGCGGTCGACTACATAGGAGTCCAGCGACATAGCCATTACGCTAACTGCTGGTCCCGACAGAAAGAATTTTTTAAAAAATGGTCCTTAGGGACCTGAGGGATGATTCAAAAGGTCT